GTAAAGCCTTCGACAGAGTAACCTCACAAGAGCACCCTCTTAAGGGACAGTGGCAGCATCATGGTATAGGAGGTCTAAGTTTCTAGCATGGATTGAGCATGGCTGTACCAATAGAAACAGAGAGTTACCATTAAATGGAGTGAAATCTGAATGGAGATAGATCACTCAGTTGCGTTCCACAGGATCATGTTTTAGGTGGCCCTCATACTTGTCATAAATTTACATAATGACCTTGCAGAAGGGATTACTCGTAGACACGATAAGTTGCTGATATACAAAGATAGGCCGTATAATTCCACCCTAGATGAAGATATCAAATGACTTCCAGACATTTTGAACAAAATAATGTCTTGTCTGAAAAATGGCAGATCGTTTTAATGTGGATATGTGTCACTGTTACAGGTCCCATGGAAACTGAAAATACAACCCCTCCAGATAGCTATAATCTAGGTTGAAGTACGAAGCTTGGTCATACAGAATTGAAAAAGACTTTGGGATCATGTAAGCAGAAATCTACAGCCACGACCGCATGCATTAGTGTGACACACAATGCCAACAATTACTTGGATTTATCTCAAGAAGTATAAGTAGACCGAAGAGGCCAGAGTTATTTCCAGTCACCTATACTCCCTAGTGCGGGCCTCCTTAGCTATGCGCTCATTTGGTCCCACTAATACGACAGGATAAGACAAAGACTCATAAAGAACATACAGAGAAGAATGACTAAAATGATTTACTGTGTAAGGAACTCCTCGTATGAAGTAGACTTAAAGCCTTAAATCTCCACTTTCCTCTGGCGAGGCGTAGAATGAGGGGAGATATCATTGAATGTATAAGTGGATGAACGGCATAAACAAGGAGACATTAATAAAGTCCTGAGGGGTAGTCGACACCAGGTTAAGACACCCAGGAATACTGGATTTAAGTTGATAAATTTAGATTTAGAAAGGACATAGGTAAGTACATCTGGTTTTCTAACAGAGTTGTAGATGCGTGAAGCAGGTCTTCAGTGGGTGATAGAAAGGCTAGACCTATTGGTACTTTAAGAGAGACCTGGACAAATATATAGTAGAGGAGGCGGCTGGGTTGATTGGTGTTCACGGGTTAATACGGGAGTTTATATTCTCTTGGGATAGCGTTTAGAGTATAGTAGTCGTTTGATAAAGGCCCTGCATCGGTATGGGCCTCTTAGGCTTCTGCAGTGTTCCTATCATCTATGTTCTTATGAAATAATATGGGTACCAACCCCTTATATGGGTGTGAAGCTTGGGTTGTAAATGCTACCGACGAGAAGACAGTGAGAGGGCAGTGGAGTGTCCTGTCTAAGGGTCAATTTGGTGTAAATATATGCAGAACATTGAAGTGTTGAAATTAGCGGTGTGGGAGTTATATAAAGATTAGTCCGTATATGGGGATGACGAGGGGATGTTGAGGTGTTTGTCATTTAGAGAGAATGGATTCAAAGTAGAATACATGAGAGCCTACAATCATGTAGGGGAAGAACGTGAGGGGTAGGGGTCACTCTCTTGAAAAGGTTTAAGAAGGGGTAAAAGAGTTTTGTGGGTGAAGGGCTTGGAATTCCAGTAAAAAAAAAAATAAAAAACAAGCATTGTGTGAGCAGAGTTAGATAGTAGTGAATGGAGACAAATGATATTATATTGCCCTTGACGAGCTGGTTCGCGTGTGAGCAGGGTATATATTGAGCGAGGCGTTCAGAAACCATTATTTTTATACAAGAACATAAGAAAGAAGGAACACGCAAACAGGCCTACTGACCCATGCAGAGCAGGGTCATGTCTCCTCCCCCTCCCCCCCGGATTAGCCAATGACATGCCCTCACCAGGTCTGGCCACCTCCAGTCGAAGGAAGGCGCAACCGGCACCATGAACAAGGCAGCTAAAAGTAGTCCGGTCAAACTCACAACACCCACATTTGAACCACGACCCACTTCATGTATTTATCTAATCTAACTCTATTTTTAAAACTACACAACGTTTTAGCTCATAACTTACTTGGAAGTTTGTTCTCACTCATCCACAACTCTATTAACACAAAACAGTGCTATTCCTATAACAGCTTGCCTGAACCTGAATTTTTCCAACGTAGAAGCTCATGCTGCGAGTCCCCTGTCTTGCTGGCAATTTTCAGCACGCTATTTACACCCCCTTATTATTTATTCCCGTGTTCCTCCATTTAACACCCAACAGATCAAATCCCCCATAATTGCTATGCCTCTCGAGAGAGTGCAGATATCAGGCCCTCATTCGCTCCTCCTAGGCAATTTCTGATACATGGTTCAGCTGTTGGCATCCGCCGCGTGTACGTTTTTCCCCAAGCTGGTATATCCATTCTGTAAGAACGGTGACCAAACTGTTCAGCATAGTTAAATTGCATAACCAAGGGATTATTATAGAGTTGAAGACAAACGAGGTCTATTATTTATACTTCTAGATATGAAGCCTAGAATTTCGTTAGCTTATTGCAATCTCTAACACAGCTGTTGTCTTGGTTTTAATTACGCTAACCAGAACTCCTAAATCCTTTTCACAGTCAGTAAATAATTAAGATCTACATATTTAGTTTATAGTAGCTTGAATATTTAACCTGTCCAACAGTTAGAACTTTTGCATTTGTCAATGTAAACTGGCATCGGCCACTTCTTCTCCCGTCCATTGCATCAGTCTATTCAAATCATCCTGGATGCTCTAGTGCCTCAATTAGGATTATGGGATGGCCTATTTTGGGTCTGTCATCAGCAAATTGGCTGAGGTCGCTATTAAATCCCTCACTAGTCGTTTATGTAAATTGTGAAACATCAACGGGCCCAACACTGACCTGAGGAAACACCGCATGTGAGGTGCCCCCATCATAATTTCTCCCCATTTACCGCAAACAATCTCTGCTGCCTATATGTCAGCCATGCCTCTACCCATGAAAAAAATGTCCTCCTCCTATTCCTGTGCCTTAAGTTTCCTCAGTGGCCGCTGAGGTGGATCTCTATCGAAAGCCCTTACTGAGTCCATATACTCAATATCCATATTCATTACCATGATCTATCCGTCCTTAAACACCTTTGTGAAAAAGTTAGTAAATTCATAAACAGGAACGGCCTTTGTAAAACCCATGTTGAGATTTCATTAAATCAATCGTGCCTATCAATATGTTTTACGAATTGCCGTCGGCACTTATTGATACCATAAATTTTCCCACTATGGAGGAAGGCTTATTGGTCTAAGTTCGATAGCCAGACCTTTCACTGCCCTTGTAAATTGTATTCTCATTTGCCATTTTCCACTCAGCAGGCACTATGCCAGTTTGTAGCGATATGTTTAAAAGATTAATCAAAGGTATGCTAAGTTCCTCTTTACATTCCTTTAACACCCTTGCAAACAGTTCATCAGGGCCTTGAGTCCTGGAAATGGAAAGTACAATGCCTGCACTTCAAAGGAGGGGTTTGGGATATTGGCAGTTTGGAGGGATATGTTGTGATTTATACATATATCCTTCTAAACTGTTGTATTCTGAGCGCCTCTGCAAAAACAGTGACTATGTGTGAGTGAGGTGAAAGTGTTTAATGATGATGAAAGTTCTTTCTTTTTTGGTCACCCTGTCTCGGTGGGAGACAGCCGACTTGTGAAAATAAAAAAAAACAACTTGGCAGTGGCAATTTCCAAGCAATGGGATGGGCAGATATCCTTTCTTTGCTAGTAGATCCCTCCTTATTAAAAAAAGGAATAAATGAGTGTGAAGGGGAATGAATAGGTGTGAAGTATGGGTTGTTAATGTTGAAGCCAAGAGGGGGCTGGAGGCAAAGATGTCATGTTAGAGGGCAATATGTAGTTTGAATATTATGTAAGAATTCATATTTGAGGAGATTAAGAAGTGTTGGATACTTACTGTAATTAATCCAGAAGGCTGAGAAAGGGTTGTCAAGGTGGTCTGGACATTTAGAGAATGAAGAAAAATAGGATGACTTGGAGGGTGAATAAATCTGAAGTGGAGGGAAGGCAGGGCAGGGTTCATCTTGCCTGTAGCAAGACAATGATGGGGCAAGTGATGGTGAAAGTGTTTCTTCTTTTTCAGGTCAACTTACCTTGGTGGGAGATGGCTAGTGATATAAAAAAAAAAACCAAAAGGGTTGAGGTCTGGAGAATTTCCTAACTAGTCACTGAAGGGTATGTCAGTCTCACAGCCATTAAAAAACAGATGCCACAGTGTGGCAGGGAATACCGTCTTGTATAAAAATGTTGCACCACACTTCGTGAAAGAGACAGGCAAATTATCACAGAGCAAATTTTAGGACCATTATTACAGTTAACACTAATGGGGACATTTTTCTAGGCTTCCCTCGACATGCTTTTGGGCATATCATCAACACTGCTTCCCAAGCAACCAATGCAACTTACAATCCCCACTAGAACCACTTGCACACATCCACAGCTTTTACTATTTCCTTGTTTAAAATGGCCTTCCTTAGTCAATCCATTGGGGATCTGTACACTCAACTGTCTCTTGGTCCATGAGTTACCCCTGCCAAGAATAATTTGTCTTTAGCCAAAAATGTCTCGACAAAGTTGGCCCTCAGGACTACACTGCACAGGGACACCATAGACAACTCTGTCTACTACACAATCCTAGAAAGCACTTAGAACCCAACCAACATCTTAATGAATTCCGGAAATTCCACTATGAGTTTGCCAGGGCAGCATACCGTTTTGTCTCATTGAAACACCTAACAAGGTAAAGTATTACTTTAATGACAAGCACTATACAAAATATTCTTAATAATCCATATCTAACACAACCTTGCATCCCAGTTATATCATAGGCTCTGCCAACATTCTTTTATTTTGTTCAACTATCTTTGGTTAAATACATTCTCTTGGTTTAAATCTCAGCACTTTTCTAATACTATATAATGACAATACAGAATTACAGGCTATTTTCCTAAGAAGATCCGTACTTCAGATAAGCAGTTAAAGAAAGCCCAGTCTGCTCACCTCCCACATAGCTCTCATATGAGAGTGTATTGGTTCCTTCAGTAGGTCTTTTTCCCAGTCTACGACTTCTTGTTCACGATCACGTTTGGCTTGTCTCATGGCATCCATTCTTCTTTTCTTCATTTCTTTTTCACGCTGACCCCTGCAGCCACGGACACGATACAAAATATACGAAAAAAAGTTCTCACCTGCATGTAAAAAAAAAAAAATACTAACAGTGTAGTTGTCTTGTTATTTAATTACTATTACCAATCATCAAAATTACTGTTATTCTAACACTAATAACTAATATTATCTGAAAGTACGTTCCTCTATCATCATAACTAGACCAAAGCATGTTAATAAGTTGGTGCATACAAAATGCAATATTCATCTTTCAACAAACAAGCCATATCCCACCAAAGCAGGGTGGCCCAAAAAGAAAAGTGAAAGTTTCTCTTTTTAAATTTAGTAATATATACAGGAGAAGGAGTTACTAGCCCCTCGCCCCTGGCAGTTTAGTCGCCTCTTATGACATGCATAGTTTACGGAGGAAGAATTCAGTTACACTTTCCCATGGAGATAAGTGCAAACAAACAAGAACTAACAAGAACATAGAAGAAACCCAAGAGGGTCTGTGTATATTTATGCATAGACAGATGGTCCCTCGTTTTCGTTGATTATTCCATTTCCTGGAGCTGCTACTAGTAACGAAATCTAACGATTTTGCGTGTCAATTTTCCCCAAAAGAAATATTGTAAAATAAAATTAAATCCGTTCCTGACACCCAGAAGTATTAAAACAAAAAATTTTTTACATGAAATATACATGAAGTACATAAACAATACAATGGGAAATGATGAATAGAAACATTAAACAGCAAACAACTTACCTTTATGGAGATTCGTCTTAGTGTATGGGAGACTGGAGGAGAAAGGTGGATTTTTATAAGTTTGGAAAGGGAAGCCCTTCCAGCAACACCGCAGGTTCCAATTGGCTTGTCTGGGTTGCGTCTCTTCGCTGTTTCTACTGCCACTAGGAACAGCACACCTTGAGAGTCCACTGGAGTCCTGTCTTGCAAAATATCTGTCAGAGAGCGCTGTTTTTGCAGTCCTTCTTTTAATTACTCCCTAAAATAGCCAAGACTTTGGTCACTGTACAGGGTGGCAAATGTGCTTTGCAAACAACTTGTCAGGGTATTTTCCTCCATAATGCGGGCCATTTACCCCCACAGCAAAAACGCGTTAATTTCTAAGAAGGCTCCCATCTTCCATCTCGCTTCCTCCTCCTCTGCAGCAAGATTCTGAGCTGCAATCTGTTGCTGTTCCTGCTGAAGCTCTTGCAGCTCCTCAAGTGGTGAGCGCTTGGTGTGGTCTTCCACCAATTCTCCACATCCTCCTAACGCACTTCCAAATCCCAATTGGATCTCCCAAGGTGCCACAATTGATTTTAACAAACAGACATAGGCTCATCAGGGTCCAGTCCCAAACCCTTCAAAATCCCTCTTGTCGACACAATCTGGCCACAATTTTCCCAGGCAGAGTTCAAAGTCCTGGTAGTCACTCCCGCGCCAAGCCGTATACCTATTAAGTAATGCAATGGAGGGTTCGTCTGAAGTGTTCTCTCCAAAATGCCCGTAGTGGGCCAATTGATGGCTGTGTCCAGTCATGCACCTGGTGAACATTGCCTTATTGGTGGAGAGATTTTTAAGTTTGCTATGGAGTCCTGCTGGTCCTGGGCTGGAGTGAGGAGTGGTATTCCGGGCAAGAACTTTACTGTGATGAACCCAAACTCCTCAAAAATTAGGTTCTATCCAAGTTGGGAGATGAGCAGGTGCATTGTCCATACTAGCAGCACTATGAATCCAATTTCTTTTGCAGGAGTATTTCTTCACACTAGCCAAAACACTCATTGAACAACTCGTTGAAAATTTCCCTCGTGACCCATTGCCCTTACTATACTTTTCCAAAACCCACACAATTTACTCTTCAAAACATTTTTTTTTCCTGACACTCTGGGTTTTTCAGAATTGGTACACAGTAATGGCTTCAACTTTGAAATCCCCACTAGCATTACACAGAACATTAGTGTCAGCCTGTCTTACTTAGCTTGTGGTCCTGCATTGCCGTTTCCTCCTGTGTATTGAAGGTCCTCTTTGGCAGGTTTTCCCAAAATAGGCCTGTTTCGTCTCAGATTGAACACTGGTTCTGGTGCTGTCCTTCACCTCTGTGTACTCCTTGAATCATGCACATATTTTGTTTTTTCCCAGGCCGCCTTGTGGTCCGAACGGGCAGCCTCACCAGGCCTTACCACACAGTTATGCTGTAACGGTTCCTAAATCTCTCAACCAACCTTTCTGGCCTTAATTCTCTCACATCACCACTATTTTTTCAGGCAATTTCTTTACAGATCGGTGTGCAACTGCCTAGCCTTTGTGGCACAAATAATCGACTAGTCATAAGAGTAGCTCCTCGAATGTGGCTCATTGATCCACACCTACATAACTTCCAACCTCTTCCATACTGGTGAGCTCATTTTTGTCAGCATAGGTACCCCCTTTGCAACAAACAGCACCTTGAGGTCCATTGTCTTGGCCACTATGGAAAATAAGGTTTGTGTAGGTTTCTAATACATCCTGGCCAGGTTCGTAAATTCAAGCGATTTTTCGCACCTTCTGTACACCACAGGCTTGGGGGCACTAGGAGCTTTCTTTGGATAGCCATGTACTTATTTAGTACTTTGCAAGCACTAAAAGAAATGGAAATAATGAAATTTAGCTGTACAAGTGAGGGGACATTCGCTCACTGGTAAACATGCCATACTGGCTGCCGCCCCGGCTCACGCCGTGGGTACGCGTCCCGGACCGAACAACTACTCGCTAGTCAACCTATGAACAAGCAAGCCATGTTTTAGACAAAAATACTCCTAGATATCTGAAATCCCAATTTGGGGGAAAAAAAAAAAAATTTTGCGTGAACTACGAAAAGCGAGGGACCACTGTACATGCATGTAGTGGTGAACTTAAGTTTTGGTTAAAATATGAGCTCACCGCTTCTCAACATATGTGCCACAACGCTGCGGAGAAGGTCAAACACTTATGAAGCATCTCGACAACAATAATCCAAGCAGGACACCCAGTCCAAACGACACCACTTCAACGTCATCAGGAGTAAAAGGCAAGCACAGTCCGTCTGCTTCAGTCAATAAGTAGGCACATCAGTTCCAACTGCCCCAAAAAACCCTCAACCCATCAGGGCAAATCTCTAATACCCTAGTAACATTCCCCCTAGAGAATAGAAAAGGTATGCACACTTATATTGCGAAAGTCTTATTTCCCTTCAGGAAAACGTCAGACCAACAAAAGTAAATACCTTTAGAGATAAAATGGAGCATATTGCTCACTTGTCAGAGAAGGAATGATTACCCCTTTCAGGTAGAATACTCCTGAATTCTCAGTTTATTGGAAGCCTATGTAGGAGCGATATTATTCAGATTCTTTGGCATAAAATTTATGTATAGTGCAATATACACTGGGTACATGACTGTAGGTACATCAAAAGGATTTCCATGAAAAATTGCCAGTGTTATTATTCTGTGTAATAACCTTACTCCTGTTAGTCTATATCTGTCGCTGAACCTATAATGATTTAATCTCTCTCCAGTGTTGGCCATAAACTCGGATGCAACATCCCAAGGGTGGTCTGGGGAGACATGATATGACCTATCCTTGGACGACATCCGATCTCGTAATAGACACTTGTTTTATGAGACACACCGTTCCTTGGAAGGAAGGAGTCTCGTAATCAAGTGAACAGACCCCGATCAAGCCTTCGCTACTTCCCAGGAGTTGCAGATTGCCAGATGGTCTCTGTTACCCATGCCGCGGGGACTGTCCTTTCCGGGAGGAAACAACGAAAGGACCCGTACTTTAAAATCGCTGTTTTTCCAGGCAGGCCGATGTAAATCCTCTTGGGGTACATCCAGATACAAGTTATGAAGTTAAAAATGATATTTGGTTTGCACTGATACTGTAAGGAGAAAGAGGGCCTTGCAGTTATACGACCGGGTTAGTGTTTCCACAACCAAGTAATAGCCACAGATATTAAATATAGCCAAAATTACGTCATCGTAGGAGGTCAACATCGGAATTACACAAACCTTGTCTAGAATCAAAAACAGAATTTTATTGGTCCAACATTCAAGAAGCATGTGAACTCACTAAGGTGTTGCCGGAAAGTCAGCAATTGGAACAACCTGGACATGTCCATTAACCCTAGCACCCTCTCCAACCCAAACCTGCAGCATTGAGAACCTTTTGCAGATTTAATTATAGATTGTGTAGGTCCACTACCACCGTCACTAGTCTGGCAACTCAGTCTTTCTTACACCAATTCTGGATCCAGTCCCCCGATCACCTGAATCGATCCCAATTGCGCCGTACACTACACCAGCTCATCTCAAAGCTTTACACAACCTTCCTTCTGTTTTGTGGACATACTCACACTATCCCCCGTGCATCGCGCCACGGTCCTCACCATCTCCCTGACCAAAGCCTATAAGGGAAGTATTTTTCCAGTGAGCAAAGTTCTCGAACTTCCCTGTAATTTTATTACTCTATTATTTTCTGCTGCTGAAGAGGCTGAAAATTTCAGAATGATTAACAAAAAAAATAAGTAATGGCTGGGACTGCAATATGTTGGACACCAATGCTGAAACTTTTAAAATGAAGAAAAAAAATATACAGAAGTACTGTAATCTATAGATAAAAGGGGACAGGGTGAGGAAGGATTAAGTGAATATATACACGCATGTAAGTACCCACTTTGACTGTTTTCTTTTTCTCTTTAGTGGCCTATACAGGAAAAGGGGTTACTAGCCCACTGTTCCCGGCATTTTAGTTGACTTTTACAACACGCATGGCTTACGGAGGAAAGATTCTTATTCCACTTCCCCATAGATATAAAAGGAAAAGCAATAAGAACAAGAACTTTTTTTTTTTTAAACAAGTCGGCCGTCTCCCACAGAGGCAGGGTGACCCAAAAAGAAAATACTTTCATCATCATTCAACACTTTCACCTCACTCACACATAATCACTGTTTTTGCAGAGGTGCTCAGAACACAACAGTTTAGAAGCATATACATATAGAGAGAGAGAACATATTCCCCCAAACTGCTAATATCCTGAAACCCTTCCTTTAGAGTGCAGGCATTGTACCTCCCATTTCCAGGACTCAAGTCCTACTATATAAAAATAACCGGATTCCCTGAATCCCGTCACTAAATATTACCCTGCTCACATTCCAACAGATCGTCAGGTCCCAAATACCATTCGTCTCCATTCACTCCTATTGAACACGCTCATGCACGCCTGATGGAAGTCCAAGCCCATCCCCCACAAAACCTCCCTTACCCCTTCCTTCCAACCTTCTCGAGGATGACCCCTACCCCGCCTTCCTTCCCCTACAGATTTAAATGCTCTCCATGTCATTCTACTTTGACCCATTCTCTCTAAATGACCAAACCACCTCAACAACCCCTCTTCAACCCTCTGACTAATACTTTTATTAACTCCACACCTTCTCCTAATTTCCACACTCCGAATTTTCTGCATAATATTTACACCACACATTGCCCTTAGACAGGACATCTCCACTGCCTCCAACCGCCCCCTCGCTGCTGCATTCACAACCCAAGCTTCACACCCATATAAGAGTGTTGGTACTAATATACTTTCATACAATCCCTTCTATGCCTCCATAGAAAACGTTTTTTGTCTCCACATATACCTCAATGCACCACTCACCTTTTTTCCCTCATCAATTCTATGATTAACCTCATCCTTCATAAATCCATCCGCCGACATGCCAACTCCCAAGTATCAGAAAACATTCACTTCTTCCATACTACTCCTCCCCAATTTGATATCCAATTTTTCTTTATCTAAATCATTTGATACCCTCATCACCTTACTCTTTTCCATGTTCACTTTCAACTTTCTACCTTTACACACACTCCCAAACTCATCCACTAACCTTTGCAATTTTTCTTTAGAATCTCCCATAAGCACAGTATCATCAGCAAAAAGCAACTGTGTCAATTCCCATTTTGTATTTGATTCCATATAATTTAATCCCACCCCTCTCCCGAACACCCTAGCATTTCCTTCTTTTACAACCTCATCTATAAATATATTAAACAACCATGGTGACATTACACATCCCTGTCTAAGACCTACTTTTACCGGGAAGTAGTCTCCCTCTCTTCTACACACCCTATTAAGATAAAATCAAAGAAAACTCAGATGAGTGTGTATACATAAATGTGTAGTGTGACCTTAGTGTAAGTAGAAGTAGCAAGATGTACCTGAAATCTTGCATGTTTATGAGACACAAAAAAAGACACCAGCAATCCTACCATCATGTAAAACAATTACAGGCTTTCGTTTTACACTCACTTGGCAGGACTGTAGTACCTCACTGGGTGGTTGCTGTAAAACCTATAGGGGAATAAGTTTACTAAGTATACCAGGAAAAGTGTACTGAAGGGTTATTACTGAAAGAATTAGAGGTAAGACAGAGAGTAGGATTTCAGATGAGCAGGGAGGCTTTAGAGTGGGTAGGGGATGTGTAGATCAAGTGTTTACATTGAAGCATATATGTGAACAGTATTTAGACAAAGGTAGGGAAGTTTTCATTGCATTTATGGATTTAGAAAAGGCATATGATAGAGTGGATAGAGGAGCAATGTGGCAGATGCAGCAAGTATATGGAATAGGTAGTAAGTTACTAAATGCTGTACAGAGCTTTTATGAAGATAGTGAGGCTCAGGTTAGGGTGTGTAGAAGAGAGGGAGATTACTTCCCGGAAAAGTGGGTCTTAGACAGGGATGTGTAATGTCACCATGGTTGTTTAATAGATTTATAGATAGGGTTGTAAAAGAAGTAAATGTTAGAGTGTTGGGAAGAGGGGTGGGATTAAACTATTGGGAATCAAATACAAAATGGGAGTTGATACAGTTACTTTTTGCTGATGATACTGTGCTTATGGGAGATTCTAAAGAAAAGTTGCAAAAGTTAGTGGATGTGTTAGGGAGGGTGTGTAAAGGTAGAAAGTTGAAAGTGAACACAGATAAGAGTAAGATGATGAAGGTATCAAATGATTTAGATAAACATGCATATATAGGCATACGTAGGTGTATCAAAAGAGGGTATGGGCAGTTAAGAAATCAATATATTCAATTTAAGAGAAATACTAGCAAAATTCCTGAAATAATAGATTATGTAGAACAGAACGATAATAAACTATACACGATTGCTGTACCTAGTGACATGATCCTCAGACAAATACAGAAATTAAAACCTAACAAATCCCCAGGCCCTGAACTGTTTGTAAGGGTGTTAAAGGAATGTAAAGAGGAACTTAGCATATCGCTACAAACTGGCATAGTGCCTGATAAGTGGAAAATGGCAAATGTAATACCTATTTACAAGGCAGTGACAGGTCCTTGGCTTCGAACTATAGACCAATAAGCCTTACCTCCATAGTGGGAAAATTTATGGAATCAATAATTGCCCAAGCAATTCATAGCCATCTTGATAGGCACAAATTGATTAATGAATCTCAACACGGTTTTACAAAGGGGCCTTCCTGTCTTACGAATTTACTAGCTTTTTTCACTAAGGTGTTTGAGGAGGTAGATCATGGTAATGAATATGATATTGTGTATATGGACTTCAGTAAGGCTTTCGATAGAGTTCCACATCAGAGGCTACTGAGGAAACTTAAGGCACATGGAATAGGAGGAGAAATTTTTTCCTGGGTAGAGGCATGGCTGACAAATAGGCAGCAGAGAGTTTGCATAAATGAGGAGAAATCAGAATGGGGGCATGTCGCAAGCGGTGTTCCGCAGGGGTCAGTGTTGGGTCCGTTGTTGTTCACAATTTACATAAACGACATAGATGAGAGAATAAATATTGACATAAGCAAATTTGCTGATGACACCAAAATAGGCCGGCCAATTCATTCTAATGAGGACACCAGAGCACTCCAGGATGATTTGAATAGACTGATGCAATGGTCGGAGAAGTGGCAGATGCAGTTTAATATAGACAAATGCAAAGTTCTAAATGTTGGGCAGGAAAATAACCATGCCACATATAAACTAAATAATGTATATCTTAATGTAGATCTGCGAAAAGGATTTAGGAGTTCTGGTTAGCAGTAATCTAAAGCCAAGACAACAGTGCATTAGTGTTCACAATAAAGCTAACAGAATTCTTGGCTTCATATCTAAAAGTATAAATAATATAAGTTCTCAAGTTGTTCTTCAACTCTATATATCCTTGGTTAGGACTCATTTAGATTATGCTGCACAGATCTGGTCACCGTATTACAGAATGGATATAAATGCTCTGGAAAACATACAGAGGAGGATGACAAAGTTGATCCCATGTATCAGAAATCTTCCCTATGAGGATAGACTGAGGGCCCTGAATCTGCACTCTCTCCAAAGGCGTAGAATTAGGGGGGACATGATTGAGGTGTATAAATGGAAAACAGGAATAAATAAAGGGGATATAAATAGCGTGCTGAAAGTTTCCAGCCAAGACAGGACTCTCGGCAATAGTTTCAAGTTGGAAAAATTCAGATTCAGGAAGGATATAGGAAAGCACTGGTTTGGTAACAGAGTTGTGGATGAGTGGAACAAACTCCCGAGCACAGTTATAGAGGCTACAATGTTGTGTAGTTTTAAAAATAGGTTAGATAAATACATGAATGGATGTGGGTGGGTGCGAGTTGGACCTGGCTAGCTTGTGCTACTAGGTCTGATGCCTTGCTCCTTCCTTAAGTGGAAGTGACCTGACTAGGTGGGTCACTGGGATAATGGAGGGGGCAGACCTGCTTTGCATGGGTCAGTAGGCCTGTTGCAGTGTTCCTTCTTTCTTATGTTCTTAAGAAAAATTGAATATCTCATCGGAGAGAGGGATTATGGAAGAAGTGAATGTTTTCATATATTTGGGAGTTGATGTGTCAGCAGATGGGTTTATGAAGGATGAGGTTAACCACAGAATTGATGAAGGAAAAAAGGTGAATGGTGTGCTGAGGTATATGTGGAGACAAAAAAGTTATCTATGGAGGCAAAGAAGGGAATGTATGCAAGTACAGTGGTACCAACTCTCTTATATGGGTGTGAAGCTTGGGTTGTAAATGCTGCAGCAAGGAAGCGGTTGGAAGCAGTGGAGATGTCCTGTCTAAGGGCAATGTGTGGTGTAAATATTATGCAGAAAATTCGGAGTGTGGAAATTAGGTGCGGAGTTAATAAAAGTATTAGTCAGAGGGCTGCAGAGGGGTTGTTGAGGTGGTTTGGTCATTTAGAGAGAATGGATCAAAGTAGAATGACATGGAGAGCATATAAATCTGTAGGGGAAGGAAGGTGGGGTAGGGGTCGTCCTCGAAAAGGTTGGAGGGGGAGTTGATAAAGGAGGTTTTATGGGCGAGGGGCCTGGACTTCCAGCAAGCGTGTATGAGGATGTTAAATAGGATTGACTGGAGACGAATGGTTTCTGGGACCTGAAGAGCTGTTGGAGTGTGAGCAGGG